GTAGCTTTCCAATGAATAAAAAAATACCCGCATTTGATTAATTTCTACCGTTTTTGCGGAACTTATATCTGTAAATGGATTTCTTGTTAAATAACCGCCAAAAAGAAAAAAATGTAATTTAGCGCCAAGTTTAGATGACCTTAAGTCAGGGAAGCTTTACTCAAAATAAAAACAAAATGTGATTACGCCGTAAAACAGAAAATGTGAGCTATTTTCTGCACTTAATCGCTCGAAAAATTGCTTAAAATACATTTTAACAATTTCTATGAGTTCTAGGTATTTTATAAGTATATGTTGAACCCGTTTTATTGCGGTTTATGTGTTTTATATGAAACCAAAATGGTCAAGTGCAGAAAAAGGGTACATTTGCACCAATTCAAAATGGCATGCTCATTCATAATTTTTGTAAAATAAGGATTATTTTTTTTTATGTAGGTCATAAGGTCATTTCTTCTTTTTTACACATAGCTTCTCCCCGTTCTCTTGTTTAGACAGTTTTCTTGTATCTCTTGTGAATTTTTGGTTTTTAACCACCCTGCAATTGGTGATTCCCAAATCTACACTTACTCGGGAGAATAATAATGCTGTTTTTTTTTACATTAATTTTGACATTAGCCGTTTCAGCAAATTCGCTATTTGTGGTACATAATATATTGTGGGACTTGTTGGCCAGTGATCTTTTGTAGCTCTAGTTAATGCGTTGCCTTCACGGCTTATTAAATTAACGATTGAATTTATCCGATGAATTTGTTACCGTAAGAATGTTAAATAATGTTATATATTTTACACACACACCTACCGTGACGTGGCTTACTCTAAAGTATATAATAATGGTACTTAGTATGTTAACTCTTGTTACATAACTGCCCTCGGCTATGCACACTTGTATGGTTTATTGACTTTGGAATTCAACGACAAATCATGTGGTGTTCGTGTCACGACAACCATTTTGATCTACATTATATATTCTGTATAATAATAATAATAATAATAACACTGTAACTAACATTGAATGTTTAACATTGAAAGTGAAATACCATATTATACAATCGCCTATATAATGTCAGTAACCGGGCAATCGATTATACGATTTAATTATTAATTACCATAAAGACACCTGTGAATAAATGTGAATATTTATAAGCGAAACTACTAAAGCTAACACCATAATAATATGTATATATCTATTATTATATCAACATTTTTAACGCATACTTACCTACCGTGTGCGCAATACATAATAATGCACACACACACACACTTGGGAAATTGCTTTTCAATTATTTTTTCTTACATTTTTTGACTTAAAAATATAAACAATTTATAAAAAAAAATACTCTATTCACGTGTCACTATATTACAAACACAAACAAATTATAATGTCCACGTAAAGGGCAATTAAATTGATTAGTTTATTTTTCTTTGCTCTTCGAGTTTGTTGAACTTTCTCCGTGTAATAATTATTATGTTTTCGTAATAAGCCAGATTTACATATTGCATATTATCCAATAGATATTTGTGTGTGTTTACACTATATGTTTACTTTGGACAGCATCCGTTCGGATATCAATCAAGAAAAGGTTTTTTCTGTTATTTGTTACAATTATCAATACCAGCCAACACTTACACACGACAGGGTGGCTTTTTTTTTACACTTAACTGCGCTATTTAACAGCTGATGTATAAATATCTTATATTATATAAGCTTCCTTCTATCTCGGATATCAATAATTTCGATACCCGCGGCGGTGTTTGGATCTAGTAGAGGAGGTGGTGGTGGTGGTATAGTAGTAATATATAGTAGTAGTAATAGATGTACATAGTGTATTATGATATGAGGACGAGGATGTCCGGAGGCGGGAACCGGTTTTGCCATTGGAAACTTTTACTGTCTGCCAAAGACAAAAAACACCGTACCGAGGAAATCAAAAGCGAAAACCAATGTATAACTGTGGTAGATAGTCCACAATAAAAGTGAAAACGAACGGATAAAACTTGATTCTTCCATCACCGTCAAGAGCATAGACCATAGTAATAATATGCTCTCTTGGTATGTCTCTTGGTATTTTCTATGTGTGAAAATGTAGGTACATAATTGGGTTTTTTTTTTTGAAACGCATTCAAACACATTAGCCATCAATGTTGGCGAAAACTGTTTTTTTAGGGGGGTTGAAACCCAGGTAAAAAAAAAAACCCCCGTCAGACTTGACCAAAATAACAATAATTGAAGGTGATAAAGGTGTTCAAGCATTCGGCTATGTACATAATATTTTGCTAAATTGTATAATAATATATATTAACACAAAACATGTCAGTCAACACCTTTACCAATTCATTCCTTTATTGTTGCCAGAAAGCATTTCGGGGTGGTCAGAGGTCTTCAGGAATTTTATTGTAACTCAAAAGTGATTAAATTCGGCATTTAAAAACGCGGTTCGATGCAAAGCAAAATGTATCATCGTGTAAAAATTTGCTTAAAATGTTTTGACGTTTCCATCCGCACACTTTATAATAATAAAATCATTTTTTTTGTGATAATAATTGTTTTCTGTTCTCTATTTACACATAGCATTACCAGGAAATTCAAATGTATTGAAAACCCCCTCAGTTAATTAGTAATACACTGACTATAAGTACAAGACAGTAAAGTAATGATTTTTTGAAAAAATCAAACATTTTCCATCCCTGCCGGGGGCTTATGAAATGCTGCGTTTTTTTTTTTAAGGTACAACGATGGTACTGTATCATCTAAATAACACCCTACACAAATTTTGGAACAAATTGGACTTTATTAAAAAAAAAAATTCTACAGCAAACCGATGAGAAATGTGTTAATTTTTGGTTTTCACGATTTGCAATATTTTATCAGGTTAGGGCAGCCTACTTAACCTTTGGTGTCAATGTCAAAGCGGTATAAATAACCATCCGAGAACCCTGTAATCATTGTGGACGGTATAATAATTATTACATTTTATAGGTGTTCTGGTGTTATGCAAGTCGAAACGATTCGCAAAACTGAGATGCCACAATAACTATTGTAATAACGACAGGAACGCCTACAGTAGGTATATTACTAATATATTATTATAATGTATAATATAGCTGTAGTATTGCGCACATACAGTACAACAGGTAAGTATAACAATAATAATATATAATATTGTTTGCAAAATTCTAGCCAGATGCCACAAACGATCACATTGTGTTGACGATTCGACGAACTGTCGTTTTCTATTAAACGAAAGCAAACGGAAAAAGTACATTGGAGTTGAAAATAATTTTAATTAACAATTGCAAGTAGGTATGTCGGGGTTCGATAACAACATATTTTCCTTATTTTTTCCTTATTATTTTATAATAATTCCTGTCTCTGGTAACACATTTTTTAATATGTCAATAGTAGTATAAAACATAGCTGCTAGACTCGCTTTTTTGGAAAGCATAAGACAATAGTTTTGACTAGTTCGATTAAAACCGTTAAAGAAAAATAACCAAACAAATTGTCGACGAGCAAAATAAAAATGTATGTCAAATAACTGGTTATTCGCAAACTTCCAAATCGCCCATGTTTAATACACACACAGCCTAACATACTCCATCCGGTTAGATATAGGTAGAATCTTATTGCACTAAGTTAGGTCTTTTAAAATCTTTAGTGTCTAAGATTTGAGCTGTACATATAGGGCTTATGTCGTTATGGAAAATACTGTGCTTGGTTCGCACTGTACAAGCGGTTACTTCAGGTAAATTAAAAATAATTGTTTCAAAAAACGTGCACGGTTTTTGTTTATATATTTAAGTAGGTACGATCCTTTTGGGGGATTTAGACTTTCAAATTAATTATAAAAAAAAACCCATTGCACGTTTATGTGGCACCTTTGTCGTTTCAAAATTAATAATGATATAGTTATTCGCCTTAGAAAAAATATAAAAACTTGTCAATTAAAATAATAACAACAAACAAAAGTAGGTACACTTTCATCGGTTTGTTGTCATGTACTAATATAAAGTGCAAGCTCATTCTGTCCGCTTGGCCTTATAAGGATTTGATTCAATTTTCTTATTAAACACTTAAATTCCTAAACGAGCAGCCTGCAGCTGGTCGTGGTTTATGATTGTATTAATTATTATTGTTTATCCTTGCAAGTTTTGTTCGCAAATGTATGTATAAAATATAATATTATTATTTATCTGCTGCGCAAATGCGTTGAAATCGGGTTAGATCAGTAATAACAGTATATTATTATTATTATTAAACCATAGGTATTACAACCTTGTTTTCATATATACGGTGGGATGATTTATCAATATATTATTCACAAGTTTGGTCAAAATCAGTAATCACTTTTTACATAATAATACTAGTCTGATACTTTTTGTCAAGGAATATGAAATTATTGTTTATTGAAAATTTTCATAGTCATTTTTTAATTAGCATTTAGTGTTAATAATGTTAGCCCAGATTGGATTATCCCCATTCTAGTTCTTAGACCTAAAGTACAGGGCTCAGAAACGTTTTTAGAAAATTGCACGTTAAATAAGGCACCTAATAATAATTGTTATTTTATTAATGTGTTAAATATTGGAAATAAAATAAGCTCCATGACGGTTAGAAATCATAATTGGTTAATTCGAAAGGAAGCGAAAAGAGTATTTTAAAAATTGAATGAAATTTTGAATTTTTCCCATAAAATATACAAATCATTGCGTTTTTGGTCATCAACTTCAAATGTACTTATTTTATGGTTTTGTTCCCAAACAAAGGTCAAACATTGTTAATAAATTATTTTTAATACCTATTATATTTAAATAAGTTTAATATGAATTCTATAAATATTATTTTGTAAAATTTTGTTATATAGTTTTGGTTATCTGTTATCAGTTATCACTGTTATCAGGTTATTATGTTTTTGCTGATAACCAAAATATTGATCTGGAAAAAAAGGAGTGTCCCATCACATCAATACCGTTGTTAACATCATCCTAATCCATGATAACAACATTGTTATTTACCAGACTGAAACTAGAGCTAAAGCCTAAAACTATAACAATAAAAAGTAAAAACGCAATTAGTTTGTGTGTAGTTTTAAAATGTACACAATAAACGAGTATTGAAAAGGACAACGTAGTACATTTTTTATTTGCTCCAAGTCGTTAATGTAAGTTATAACTTGTATGTGACCTAAGTCAAATACCTATGAGCAATGTGTCACCAAAGTAAATACTTACCTCTTAGTCATCGTCTGATCCGAGATTTACCTGAGAAATAGGTCGAATGAAGAAGTTATAAGCAAAACAAAGTAAGTAAGTTTTCAAGTCAGTTTTTTTTTTACATGTTTATCCGATTCGTTTATAGTTAATAGTCAAGTAAAAAGTTATTTCAATCAATTAGGTATTACCATATTACACTAAGTAAGACAATACCATTTTTATTATGTTGTTGACATTTTTTTAGACACAAATCGAAGGAACCAAATCCCTTGTTTATTTGCTTAATATTAGTCTTATTTACGGTTATTTTCTTTCTGAAATCGAAAGATGTGTATAACAGTTTCAATAATTCATAAGCAAAATCTGCGATGGTTTGTGTCGCTCTTACTATTATATTCTCTGTTACTTGAGCAACGTAAACTGACACAGTTCAAGTAACTATAACCTAAGTAACTGAAGCAAGGCGTGGTCTAAATGTCGGTAAGACCATTAAGAAAATATGGTACGCTAAATTTGTGTAAACATATTTTTAAACAATCAAATTAAAGTGGGCAGATATTGTGCCAATATCTTTTATGTAGCTTTGCCGCTTCTTGATTGAATCCAGTAGTGGCATGAGTTTTTAAATGCATTGCACTAAATAAATTTGTTGCTTTAAAAAAATAATAAGACTTGTATGTATTTTTTTTATTACAGCCAACCATGTATTTAATCGAAGACGACTTGATAAAATCGAGCTTGATCACCGTTTTTATCGCCGCCGTCGTCTTCTTTACGAGTATTAAAATTTTCAAATTATTATTTCCCACATCCGATGTCGCCGACAAGAATTGGACGTCCCACACTTGGGTGGAAAAGCCACTGTTTATATCTAACGTAAGTGAATCGAATACAAACTTTTTAACTTTGTTTACGATTTTCCTAAGGAAAACAAAAGTAATTTGATTACGTAACTAGTAAAGTAATTTTGTTACATTTTAAAAATGAGCTACTTGTCCAAGACAAGAAAATGCCATGACAATATTACAAATTTTCAAAACATATTTACAGGATCCAAACGCGTGCAACGTTTGCGACACTCTGATTTACGGATCGAACACGCGTTACTGTGATAGTTGCGGTCTTTTCGTCGACGTAGGCTGTTTAAAAAAGGCCAACAAAAGAATTTACTGCAAGGTATTGAGTACGAACAGACTGTCGGACGCGTTCAAACATCATTGGGTGAAATGTAACACGAGTTCTCGATTATTATTAAATTTTGTTTGTTTTTTAAGGAATTTTAGACATTAAATTAAAGGATACTGTCTTTTTTTTTTTTAGCCATAACAATACAACCGGCTCTTTGTGCTAATTGTCCAGACGACGAACCCGATATTATCCTCGGAAGTTTTGTCCAGTGTACTTGGTGTCAACGAATTCTGCACGAAGACTGTATACCTCGTTTCGAACCAGTAATTTTACTCATACGTTTTAAAATAAAATTATCGCAGTTAATTAGTTTTGGAAAAATCTAATCTACAGACCGAAACTATATTTTTTTTTCCACTTCAAAATGTGTTTTTTCCACTTCTTTAGTTTTTGTCTAAGGTATTGATATCATACATTTAAAATCAGTCGACAAGCAACATAAAATGCAGTTTTTTAAATTGTCTAAAAACTAATCTATTTGTATGTTTTAAAAATAAACCTTTTTGAATTCAAATTTTTCTTTTTTATAATATATGCAATTTTCAATGTTGAAGACGATACTTATTTTCCCCATTATTTTTAATATTATAGTTTTTTTTCAATGTAAAACAGGCAAAACTTAAAAACAATATTTCATTTTTAACAGTCGTTTAGATGTTGCTCATTTTAAAAACTGCATTTTTAGTAGTTGACTTAAGAGTACTACCAGAAAAATAGATTTGTATCGAAAATTATAAATGTTTTAACTGTGTATATCAAATAAATAATTACAATAACACTGATAGCTGTTGGAAATGAAATTATGTAGAATAAACTGAATAAAAATAATATGAACATTTTAGCTTCGATGCGGAGCTAAGAAGATATGTTTCTTTTCTATTAAAAAATTGTATAAAATAATATAATATTAAATAGTGTGACATTTTCTTAATTTCTTGTTTACCTTAAATAATTTTTTGATCTTGGAAATTTTTAAACTTATATCTATCATAATTTATTTATTATTTAGACATTTGGACACAAACATAGTGAATAATAAATAACAAATCATTTTTTCCTATAAAATCTTCACCTAGATAAAAAAAAAAGTATTAAAATAATTTTCAACCCTGAATTTTATTACTAAAACAAACTAATATAAATATAATAATAAAAAATAAAATGAATGTATAAAAATATTTCTTAAAGTCAGTTAACGCTTTATAGCTGTTATGCCTAGTTGACTGACTTTAATTAACGTGAAAAATATTAATTGGTTTTAATTTTGATTTTTTGTTATAGAAATGTGAATTTGGAAAATATCGAAAGTATATCATACCACCGTTTTGTGTGAAAGTTCAAAATAAATTCAAAGTCAACAGCGGAAGACATGTCGTCATCGACAAAGTAGTTCATCCCGGATGGCCAAATTGGACACCGTTATTCATATTCGGTACTTATTATGATCGTATTATGTGCAATCGAGTTTTGGGCGAGTTATTTTTTCATAAAAAAAATCCAACATTTTCATCCCTCATTTTTAAAATAATTTATTTGGAAGTTTAATGTAATTATTAGAATATTTTTGTCCCTTCCGATTTGGAATTGTAAAAGCTATTATTTTGTAACGTTATGTAACTCGCTTTTTCCTTTCCATCGTTGATGTTGCGTTACAACCGTTTACCGTTTCAAGTTAACAAGAAGTCTGGCAACAACGACGGAGCTTTAATAATGTCGTACTTTCGACGTCTACTCAATCCCGTTCAAGTGTGCGACGTTATAGAAAATCCTCCGGAAAAAACTTTGGCTTGGATGAAGAACGCCAATTTCGACCGTGTCTATATATTGGTTGCCGGCGGCGATGGAACCGTTGCTGGAGTTCTCAACTCTGTTCATAAACTCCTACTAAAAGTAATTAAACGATTTCTAATTAAAGAGCGATTGTCTTAAAATTGATTGTTCAACGTTGTTTTAGAATGATCCTGCGGTCGGAATTATCCCTTTGGGTACGGGAAACGATTTGTCCAGAGTGTTGGGATGGGGAACGACCTATTCCTACGATGACTTTTCTTCCGTCCTGGATTCGTTGGAAAATGTTTCGGTTATCGAATTTGATCGGTAACGATGAGCATAATTATAATTGTTGCAATATTGTTATTATTATTATTGTATATTTAATTTTACCAGATGGGAAATAAGCGTACTGTCGAACGTGTTGAAAAAAATCAAAGTAGTCAACACGACGTCTATGTACAACTATTTTGGAATCGGCTTGGACGCTCAGATCACGTTGAATTTCCATCGGACACGGAAATCGCCGTTTTATCTGTTCAACAGCACGTTGTTCAACAAAATGATCTACTTGGGATGTGGCACGCAACAGTTCCTCGAACAGCAGTGCAAAGGTCTGTCGGAAAAGATCGAGTTGTACATAGACGATCGCAAAGTCACCCTGCCCGACATCGAGTCTATCGTCATTGTCAATATCGAATCGTGGGGAGCCGGCGTAAACTTGTGGCAGTTGGGAATAAACGACGGAAACGATTTCGGTGTACAGAGCGTCAACGACGGTCTGTTAGAAGTGCTGGGGGTGCGATCGGCCATACACATTGCTCAACTCAAATTAGGGTTGTCTGAGCCGATCAGAATCGGTCAAGCGTCGAAAATCAAAGTAACGTTTTTAATTCTAATTTATCGTTTTAAACATATTTTTAATATACTTTTTCGTTTGTGTTTTGATCTATAGATAAAATTGTTGGAAAAGTTACCCGTTCAAGTGGACGGCGAACCGTGGTTACAGCCAAAATGTGATATAGTCTTCAAATGCGTAAACCGCGCTTTGGTCATGAAGAAAAATGGCGAATAGGATGCTTCGGCAGTATAACAGCGAGCAAATTTTAATCTGAGTAATGATAATATTCCAATGAAATGAACAAATCTTAGCAACACCTTCATTTTACTCGCGTGGATTAAAAAACTAATGGAAATTAAGTACGCATGCACATTCTATAGTCAATTTTCGGTTCACTGTGTCTTAAGACAACTCTTTGCGGTGTCTAATTAGCCGCTTTATATATCGATCGTATTATTAAATAAATAGTAATTGTGTTATTTTTATCGCTTTTTAGGTTTTACAATACCAAATGAATCTATACACATTCGAGTGCATCACACTAATTCCTAAATATTACTACTTGCGACACACTTGTCGTCAGTGTTGAATAATTTCTTTTGCAGTATTAACGTTACCAAATTGTGATTTATGTATTTTTAAAAAATTACCATGTTATAACTGACAATTTGTGTTTTTATTGGCACGTTTTATTTACCTACTTTATATTATTATTGTATTTTCGTTATTTATATTGCACACAACAAGTTAAACCAATGTAATAGTATATATTTTATTTACAAGTTATTGAAATTTATTTGTTTAACAAAAATGTTTGATTGTTTAAATACAATGTTTATATATTTATACAGAAGTCATCACTTACGTTATTTATTCAGAGTAAGCGATAAACCGTTATCGGACAGTTTGTACAAATAAGAAATATCGCTCATGTCGAACATAGTTTTGTAAGAAGTGATCCTCATTGTGCCCGTCGCCGCGTTGGAGAATCCCGTCGGCAATGGCGCCAACGCTATCTTGACATCGGACAAATGCGACGCTACGGCTGCTAGTCGTTTGGTCGCGTCGTCGACTTTGTGCTTCCAACATGCAAATATCAATACAATCGATTGGTGTTTTCTAACGTAGGTCAAGAACGCGACAATGTTCTCGACGGTTTCGCCCAACAGCAGTGGAACGCTGAGATCGTCGACGATTAAATACAACGTTTCGTTTGGACATTTTTCCATCAGCTTTTCCACGGGGTCGAGCCAAGATCGAATGGAATGTTCGGGTTCGACAAACTGAAATCGTTTCTTGTTGGCCATCGACAGTAAGTTGTAGTTGTACTTAAGCCCGACGTTGTGGTAATGGCCGAACGCGTCTCGCACGCCGAACATTAAAACGGGTCGGTCGGTTTTGTTCAGTATGTACCACAAGTAAAACGCCGTGATTATGTCTCCTTTGGCCGTTTCAGTCTCTTCGATGCACACAATCCGTCGATCCGCATCGTCCGGTCGCAGCACTAGCCGGAGTTCTTCGAAAACGCTTGCGTTGGCCATACTCACACGAGGTGAGGTGTAAAACCGTTTGTATAATATGTGTGTTAAAAATTAAATATATTAAACTCGAATGCCAGTCATGTGTGTGTGTGATTCGTAAAATAAATATAAATAACAAATAAAACGTTTAACATTCGAGTAAGCAATAATAATAATATTGTACAGCTAATGTGAACATTTTGAATCTTATCATCATCGCTTATCAGCAATGCTCTTATCAGTTAAAGAAGTTGGAGGTAAATTGGAACGACGAGAGAGAAAAAAATATCATGGAAGAAAAAATAGCGCGGAAAGTTCAAAAACTGAAAAGGCAACCCAACTGATATCTCCAATTCAAAAGAACAAATGTTCCGATTATTATGTTTATAAGGTCAGTAATTTCAATAATTCTAATACAGGTTTTCAATTTACCCGAATTTAGGGGTAGAAGTGGGGGCGGGGGATACATCTTTAAGAGAATTGTATAAATACCAATTATGTCTACCAAAATAGATATTTTAAACGTCACTGAATTCAACTACACGGGGTCAAATGAGGATTACCATCTAAGGGATTACCATTATAACAAAAGTTAATTTTTAGGTGCTATAATATCGTGGAACAATGGCCATTGTTCCATTTATTTATACATAAATTAGATAAACATACTAAATACATATTATAGATAATTGACTGTACAAGTCATATATTTAAAAATACTTAACTTTGTTTGTAGTCAGACAAGCTAATTTAAATTGCAGACCTCTGTTAAACAAAACTTATTTGAATCCCTACAGTTAAATATTTATAAGCTTAATTAAAAATGTTTTTGTTTTCGAAAAGAATATTCGATTGTAAATCTTTTAAATTATTAGATTTCAATGATCCCAAAACAACAATTAAATCATTTTTTTTTAAATCTAAAAACTACCATCAAGTCCCATGTAACTACTAAAATAGGAAAATGGCTTTACAATTTATATCACATTTGAAAGCAGCGACCTTAAAAACATATAATTTGAGGTTTTTTAATTGCAAAAATTGTTTTTTAATAAATATTGAAGCCCCACAAAAAAAAAAATCCTTTTTTCTTAAAATTTGTTTATAATTATATGCTTTGACAAAGTTTAAAAATGTATGAGCAAATATACAAAAGTAACTTGAAAAGCTACATAAAAATAATAATAGGTATTTAATGCAAAACAAAAGTATGATTTTCGAGAAACTTGGAGGGGGACTTGTGTCTCAAAAGGTCATCTGAGCTGTTAAGTTTGTTTCTCATGAAAGCCAATGGTGCCATTTCATCAAAAATCGATTCAAATAATTTCATATTTTATGTTTAAATAATTATTAGAACAAAAAAAATATTCGAATAATTCCCAACCGGTCGCTAAAACTAAAACGTGTGTCGTTTGTATTTTCATATTCAAAGTAGATGTGCACAAAAATGTACAAAACAAATATCGAAACGACTGAAAAAAATATTAAAGACATAAGTTTTATTTTAATTTAAACGTTTTTTACGGGACTTTTTAAATAGCAATTCTACATTTTGCAGTCTTGTAATAAATTTGCTGTCTGCAATGAGTTGCAATCCAAGTGCGATTTATTGATCTAAGCATTTTCTATTGCTGCCAAATGTGGTATTAGTTTTATTTTTCGAACACTGCACGTTTAAAATTGAATAGAAAAATATCATAGAAATACACAAAAATGCTGTTCTTACACAACATCTTAAACTTAAATCTAGTGCCACAGTTTAACAATGACCGGCATCTGTGTCCAAATATATTATGTCGTTTATACAGGCTTACAAAAGACATTTGGTCCAGTAAACTATGAAATTCTTATCCTTTAATTAAAAAAAAACCCTGGCATTTTTGGAAACATTCTAGGCTGGTTTGAATATGATTTGTGTACCGTCACTTTGGTACTTTCTCACTGTACTCTGGCTTAGACTGCACTTGGTTTAAACAGTGTTGGATTCTATCATCCCCATATCACCTGCGCATCGAAGCGTTTATTTAAAAGTAATTTTATCACTTTCAGTTTTAATAACCTCCCGTAGGCTTGTATCCTCTACCGTCCCAGCAGTACGGAAATTCAGTCTGCTAAGAACTGAAAAAAAAAACTTCTAAAAACTGATTTGTTTACATAATTTTGATAGTTATTATTATTTGAAAAAAACACATACATTTGCATAACATTGTATTTAACACTATTCTACCGTAGAAATGACGTTTACAAGAGTCAAAACTAAATTCATATAAATCATAAATATCAGCCGTCCTTTTCGATGGTCCATTGTTGAAATTCACGCGAAAAACGTATGAACGATCTGATGAAACTAAAATCGATCTTGAACAATACACTTTTTAAGAACTTCGTGAACTCTTTGGGTTTAATATTGTAGTTTTCGGATTCCACGAACATTGGTTTACAGTCGTAAAACGACGAATGCAAACGGTTCAGCGTCGCCGACACGTTGTTGATTTGATCGTTCAATTCGGTTTCGTCAATTCGATATTTTCGATTCTCGTCGGAAATGGATTCGTTCAGCATGTCGATTACACCGTTGAAATGCGAACTGTCTCCTATGTAAGAAACGAATCGAGAGAGGTGTTTGGACAACTTGCGTATGAACGCGAACCCTTCGAAATCCTTAAGCGACTTTGGTTTCATTCTGGACGTGAACCTGTCCAACGGGTTCGTCGAAGAAACCAGCATGTTTTGCAACCGTGTCAATTGAACCCACGTCGACTGTAACATCACGATTTCCAGCAGTTCGATGAATTTCCCTTCGAAAAGTCCGATGGCTCTGATACGGTGCCTCAGCTTGGTGCTCTCGTCCACGCACTTCAGGTAATCGCCCGTCATCTTGTCCTGTATTGTTTTCCATTCGTCCAGTCTGGCGTATCGTTGCAACAATTCTCTGATAACATTATCGTCTCCCCGAACAATATGGTTGATGAAAATCCGTCGAAATTCAAAAATTAAGTCATTATGGTCCAAACCCCGGAAAAACAGGATGTCTTTAACCTGCTCCTGGTTTTCCACTATTAATGTCTCCTTGTCGATAACCGACATGTCGTTTATCGATCGAAAACCTTCATAATAAATCGACCGTTCGTACTCTTCGTTGTACTTGTTTTCTCTCGAACAATTCCCGTTGGTGAAATATTCGAGGTAGTCTTGGACGTCGTTCAGATCGGCAGGCAAATTAACTAGTCTGGTACGTAAGTCCATATCATTTAATCTAGCCATATCGTGGTAGAGCACATAGCTCAACCATATAGCGTTTATCGATATATTATATTTCCAACGATACAGGACCGACAACATGCATTTGGCTTCCACGGCGAAACAAAGGGGATTTGTTATCTTGTAAAATTGACGTTTAAAATAATGAGTACTGTAATTTGACTTTAAATTGAGTTTGTTGATGAAAAAACCAATACCGTGGTGAGTTTCTGCAATATTTCTGAAAACCTTCAAGTGATAAAGGCTGCTGTAAACGAAACTGCATTCGACTTGTTTCATTCGGTTTACTACCGTTGCCTTTAGCTCGTGCGCGGGTAGCTCATTTAATTCTCCGTCGGTTAAAATGTTTCTTGTGTTTTCACACCCGGTGTTCATATCCTGCAAACTTAGATACATATCGGTTAAAAAGTACCTGTCCGGCTCATCGTTGTCGTCACACGATACTAGGCTTGTCCAATCCCACGGTAGTACGACAATCAAGAGTAGAATCCGTAGCGGTTTTCGTTGGCACATGGTGAGCTGTTTTGGCTGCTAGTACCGTTTTTTTAAAAAACTTTATTAATTTGATTTGTAAGTCACAGGCGTCGTAACCGTAATGTCGTTTGTTTGCTGCAACCGCGGCGTAGCACTAAATCGTCTACACTATTTAAACAACTTGCAGTTACTATTCCCACTTGAGTATAGTTCGACTGGCCTGTCAACCCAGTTTTGGAATACTTGCACATTACAACATCACGTGTAAACACAATACCGCACTCGAGTTTTAATAATTTGAAATCAAACATTTTTGTTTTCCCATTTTACATGTAACAAAAAAAAAACTATCGACATAATTGATATTTTCATTTATGAAATATAGAAATATTTAACCACAGTGTAGTAAAATGTGTAAAATGTGTACATAAATGGAATTGCAGTTAGAAAAGCTGAAAAAAGCAATAACCCGGTAGAAGCTAAAATTGCTAAGAGGGTGAGACGGGGGTGCAGATTTACGGAAACATAGTTCTAGATGGAATGTTGCTAGGGACAGTTCAAAGCTTCACATACCTGGGGAGTGAAATCACAAGCAACGGGAAATACCATCAAGACGCGGTGTGTATGATAGCGCAGGCCAAACAAGTCTGTTATACATAGAAAGAGACATATTTTTACATCGAATAGATTACGCCTGGGCACCAGAAAATCACTTATAATAGGTTTTGCGTGGAGCGTAGCCCTATATGGAGCAGAGACTCGGACTATACTGAACACTGAGAAGCTTTTGAAGTATGGTGTTGGAGGAGAACGCTAAAAATTCCACGGATAGAAATGGTAAACAATGTAGAGGTTTATAGAAGAATGAATACTTAACACAAATCGGTATGGAATACGTTGAAATTGAGAAGAAAAGCATGGATCGGACACCTAATAAGAAATAGTCCTTGGCTAACAGCAATAATGGAGGGAAAAATAAAAAAGGCAAACCTGGAAGAGGAAGGCCTAGAACATCGTTCTTGAAGCAAGTGATGGAAGATACCGGAATGGGAACATACTGGGAGTTAAAAAGGCGACAGGGAAAAATGGAAAGAGGCATCAATATTTATTTAACCAATCTTTGGATTGAAAAAAAAAAGTGCAGTAAATCTCCAAGTTTTTGTGTGTTTATTTAGTAATAAATGTAAGACGCAATGTTTTTAAATCGGTCATATGTTCAGCAAAAAAATTGTCGAGTGAACTACATAATAGTGTATAGTGTTTGTTTATTCCACAAATGTCACCAAATAATGATGGCCAATCATACTGTCTGTTGAAAACATAACTGTTAGGCTTTTGGTTAAGTGGACTGTAAACACTGTTTAGCTATTAACGTTATTTAATTATTAATGTATTACACGGGAAAAAGTACATATTTAGTTCAACTAAAAATATGGTTATTATAGGGACACAATCAATTTCTAGTTGGAATAACTAAATAGTCGGCCCGGCTATGTATTGTTGTACCTATATTAGATACCTAACCATAATTTTTCCCATCTTGCTTGGAACAATAAAAGTAAAATATACTACGTGGCCTACAACAGTAATGCAATACTTAATAAGTAAAATTGTATTTTTAAAAATGCTTCAAATCCAAACTGTATAATATGGAAAAAAGGTGAAGTATCTGTTTAAGTTAATACATATCATGTGATTAAAATCGCGAGTAAAGCTGTTTATTATTAAATACATTAAATTAATTTACAGCCTGGATATTAGCGAACAGTGCAAATATTATTTAAATATACTAACAATAGTGTTGTATAATTTTAGAAGAATTATATAATTTAATTCTGGTCTAAATTAGCATATTTGATTTTTTAAAGTTTCTACACGTTTATCTATATCGTCGGGGTTTACTTGCCACCATATGCCATCAATTTCTCTGTACACCTGTACTTCGGGTGTTAAGCCTTTAATTTTTAAGGTACAAGTTTTCTTGTCTTCATTAGGCAAAACAAATACATCTTCTGTTGGACATGTTGTCAACAAGAACAATGTTATAAATTGACACATCTTTGTTAATGGAACTTGATACAAATTTCTGTCTAAAAATATTAAAAAAAAAAAAACAATAATTTTTATAATTTGAAAAATTTGAAAAATTTAGCTTACTAGTTACTACTTTAGTTTTTGGTGCAAGACAAAACAATACTTAACTTGTCAAAAAGTCATTGATAAAGACACATTATATAACATTATTATGTGGCCCATTTTTAAAAGCAGAAGTAAGTTGTCACAGGGCGCCAGGGTGCAAATTATTTGCAAATAAATGAGCAATAAGTTAAAAATATTTTCAACCCTTAAACAACTATTTTAGGGTAGTATAAAATATAGATTTGTTAAAGTATTTCTAAATTTTAAATTGAATATGAACGTTTAAATTTAAAATGAATAACTAAGAAAACATACATATTTTGGAAAACTTATGCTCAAAGCTCCTAATTAATATGATTTTGAAAAAAATAGGGTAATATTTTGTTAAGGAGCAGAAAAATAACCTGACTTCTAGTCCACCCTTTTTTACAGTATATGTATATATGTAAATATAATATATAAATAATAATATTTTTAATGCCACGACAAACTTATATGAAACTTACCTGATGTACGGATGATTCGATTTCTTGAATTCTCTGTAGGTGCATATCTTCTCTCTTCTAGAAGATTGGTTATATTTTCAAAATCTGCAATAGTTAATAAAAAAACAGGGGTAATACTTTTATTTTAATAACCTGCCATTAGTATTGAATGTCAAATGAAGTATTCTTGCTTCATTTGAAGTACATACATTTTCATTATACAGGATTTTTTACATACATATACATGATTTTTTTTTTAGGGTTTATCAGTTTTTCCCTATTGTTTTTATGCAATGTGATCTCTATTTTTCGCATAGAATTTTAATTTTACCACCTTTAAAATTTGTTGTTTTTGTATCAACTCTCAGTACTTCAATGAAAACGTATATTTTTTTATTAACTTTTTGATTTAAAAATTATTTACTGCAAATTTGACTGGTCGATAACCAGTTTTCGTTTATTATTCCAAAAACGGTCGCAACCCATGAGTTATATAAATATTCACCTATTGCCTGGCAAATTATATTGTTTAATGCTTTTCCAATAAGGCTTCTTCTCTGATCTCCAAGCTGTGGTAAATCTAAGTTCATAAGATCTGAAAAATAAATTAGTGGATACACAATAGCACTATATTCGTCTAGTCAAGAAATTATTATATTCATAATTTTGTTATTCTATTGCAAGATAGTACAAATTCGACAAACCCACACACTCTCCGACTAAAAATGTATTATACTAAAATTATTGTTTTACCTAAAATATATTAAAATACTAAAGCAAATTCAAACTCTACAATAAGCCTAGAAGCTATTTAAGATTTTCGATTACCTTCGGATGGGACGTCAGGAGCAACAATTTCTATAGCATTATATATAACAAATCAATACAGTTACAGTAAATAAAATTCGGTTTTATCTAACACATTATTTCTAAAACCGAGAATGTAAAGATCAAGTATATAAAGTAATCATCAATTTCGGAAATTGCTCCCTTAAACATGTTAAGTTTGATATTTACTTAATGCATCTACGAATTCATTTTTCAAAGTTTCTTGGAGTCCTATAGATGCTGTAAATAATTAAAAAAAAATTAATTTTGAAACTTACTTGTATTATACATACTATTATTCCCGATAAATTCATAAATAATGAATATGTGTGAAGTATATGAGAATAATATGTGTAAGTATAATAAAAAATTATAAATGCATGGTTACCTTGTATGCTGTTATTACACGGATATTCTAAATTACAACAAATGCATCGAGAATATTAAAAAACTGTGTGAAAATATTTCCAAAATATGCATTGCAAACTATTACCAAGTGAAACGATTATTTGATTTATAAAATTGATATTCACATATTCTGAAATTAACATTACATAAATTAATGATATAGGAACTTGTTAACTATTTAAAAAATATATTTATTATATAGTTTTTACTACCGAATAAAAATACATCATTAAAAACTATTTGTTTAATTACATGCTCCAATCCGTCTAGAAAAAAACAAATAAAGATTCAGCCGTGATAAGAAAATTAAAATAAAATAAAACTATAGGTACATTTATATATTTTTTAATTACATGCTGCAATCCGTCTAGAATAAACAAATAAATTGTATTCATAGTAAAATAAAATTGTACATATGTATTTATAAACCATTAGAATAATGTTAATCCACGCTTTAAGCAGTGACTATTTGTCAAAAATGCTTATAAAAATATTTGACTTTTATAACTTCAGTGATTATACAAAATTTAGAACACTAGTTCTATTTAACACTTGCACTTTTTTAAACAGATTATAAAAACTCAGAAAACCACAAAATAATAATTATATATTAGTAAATTCATTTAAAGTAAATTTTACTTGCTATAAAGTTATCTTCTACAATACAATTGTTCGTATTATGAGCAACCTCGATGAGTGTGTCTGTAATACGTAATTAATATATATATATATATATACATAGAAAACGGTAACATTTCAAAATTAAAAAAGCTATTTTTTTTATAAAAGAAAAATGTTACCGACTTGTAATGGCAATTTGCTTCCTATACTCCTCAACTATAAAAAAATGTTTAAAATCTTACTTAATATGTATAATATTGTTAAAAAAAAAAAAATTACTTGGTTCACGTGTTGAAACATTGACAAAAAAAACCGACATTAAAAAACAGAAAAGTTTCATTTTTATCTGTGAACAATAATAAACATAAAATCTACTTTTATTAGTCATGGACGCCGCCAGAGATGCGCAAATGTTGGTATAACAAGGCTGTAATACCAACTTTTTGATACAATTTTTTATTTTAAATACACTTTTTGGAGTTAGATACTTACTTAAATTGTTGGACCATTAGTATATCTTAGACAACGGTTTAAAAATGGTCTTCTTACGACTTGCAATTAGGTACCTATATATTCGACCGAAAACTTAATGTGTTTTTACAGTGTACCAATTGTGTTTACACAGCTGGTGCATTTTTTTTGGTATGATTCATCATGTACAGACGATTTTCTTTAGTTGAAAAAAGTTTAAAAAAAAAATAGAACTATAAATATAAAAAGTATGTATTCTTCTGTTTTTTTTTTATGAAAAAAAATATAAATTTAAGAACAACTAAATAATACTATTTTTATTTCATTAAGGGTAACCCAAGAACATGTAGGTTTGTAAGAATAAGTTAATAATATCGTTTATCATCTTTGTGTTGTATTTGTCTAAAATTATTAATTATATTCCTTTAATTTCCATCGATTGGTTTTTAGACAGCCCAACCAGTACCACAGACATAATACAATTTTTTTATTCATCATTTATACATGTTTAAATCACAAATAAATTTCTATTATTATATGAAAAAAAACGTTTGTTTAGAAACGTTAATTTCTAGCTGTTACGGTATTATAAAAGAAAAATCATAATGAAGAATCTTAATTACTGTTTAAGATTTTTACACAAAAAGATAGGCTAAGGTATAAGCTGAACATTTAATTCTTTAGCTTTCGAGAAATTATAACATACTAACATACTAAATTAAATAAATTTTTTAGAGTTTGATAGTTACTGTACTTACTTAAATTGTTGGCCAGTTAGAATTTCTAAGACAACAATAGTAACTTGTTCAGCTATTCAAACTAACTGTTTGGAAATGGTAATTTTACGACTTGTAGTTGGGTTTATATATATATTTCGACCGAAAAATCAGAAACTTAACATTGTTTACTGTGTACCTGTTTGTTTTGCACAGCTGGTAAATTAATTTTTGTTTTGTATGATTTATTATGTAAAGACAATTCTTCGACGCGGAGCCAGACTCTGTAGTTATTCTTTGTTTTTGTCTAGACTATGTTAGTATTCTTAGTTGTAGGTTTGACAATTACTCATGTAATTGTCATAACAATGTTTACATTAGACAACTTCGAATTAAATTTATATTATATGACCTTAGTGACGGCCATAGTTTCAAATTTAAATTATACCTATATCTCACCCCCCACGGAGGGTGGAAATTGTTTGTCCTTGTATGCAATTTTTAGACTTTTTTTGTAATAGGATTGGTGTCAAAAGATTGTCTTGTATTTATAATTTATTGGTGTTATTAGCCCACCCGTAATGGATGGCCTTTAGAAAAATTGGCATAAATTTGTATGTTTTCGCCAAAATTCAGTACACTTACTTTAATCCTGAATCCTAAAGAAACAGCTCTATAACTGTTATTCAGGTATATTTGTTTCAATTGTGTTTGGTATAACATTGTTATTGGTTTGCCAAAAAAAAAAAAAAAAAGCCCGTACAGTGGGGTCAGTTGTTAAGTGTTAAATTTCGACAGTTTGATGCAGAAAATAAGTAAAATTGTATTTTTAAAAATGCTTCAAATCTAAGCTGTATAATATGGAAAAAATGTGGAGTATCTGTTTAAGTTAATACATAAGCAATAATGTGATTAAAATCGTGATTACAGCTGTTTATTATGAAGCACATTCAATTAATTTACAGCTTGGATATTAGAGAACAGTGAAAATATTATTTAAATATAATAACAATCATATTGTATAGTTTTAGAAGAAATATATAATTGATTCCTGGTTTAAATTAGCATATTTGATTTTTTAAAGTTTCTATTGGATTATCCAAGTCATTGTAGGGTACTTGCCACCATATGCCATCAATTTCTCTGTACATCCGTACTTCGGGTGTATAATTAATTTGTAATGCACAAGTTTTCTCTTCTTCATCACTCCGAACATGTACAACTTCTATTGGATATTTTGTCAACAAGAACATTATTATAAATTCACACATCTTTTTGAATGGAACTTGATACAAATTTCTGTCTAAAAAAATAAAAAAAAAAACAATAATTTTTATAATTCGAAAAATTCAGCTTACAAGTTACTACTTTGGTTTTTGGTGCAAGACAAAACACAAAAATAAATACATAAATACATATTTTGGAAAAAGGGTGCTCGCCACTCCTAATTGAAATTATTATGAAAATTTGAATAAAATAGGGTAATATTTTGTTACCTCCAAGGTACTCTGGTTTTTATGCAATGCCAACTCTATATGTAAACTTACCTGATGCACGGATGATTCTATTTCTTGAATTCCCTGTAGGAGCATGTCTTCTCTCTTCTAGAAGATTGGTCACATTTTCAAAGTCTGCAAAAGTCCATTAATAACCAAAAAAATTAACTAGCTGCTCGTGATACAGTTTTGGATTATTATTCCAAAAAATGTTGCAACCCATTACAGCTCTGTATAGTTATTTACCTATTGCCTGGCAAATTATATTTTTTACAGCTATTCCAATGAGATTTCTTCTCTGATCTCCAAGTTGTGGTAAATCTAAGTTCATAAGATCTGAAAAATGTATTAGTTGATACACAATGACATTATATTCCTTTAGTCAAGAAATTATTATATTCATAATTTTGTTTTTCTTCTGCGAGGTAGTACCAATTCCTTTACTATTACGACAATCACTAACACTCTCCAACTAAAAATGTATTATACTAAAGTTATTGTTTTACCTAAAATACTTGAAAAAAATAAAGCAAATTCAAACTCTACAATAATTCTAGAAGCTATTTAAGAATTTCGATTACCTTCGGATGGGACTTCAGGTGCAGTAATTTCTGTAACATAATATATAACAAATATCAAATCAATTAACTTTAGATAAAGTTAATAAAGTTCGGTTTTATCTAATACATTATTTCTAAAGCCAAGAATATTAAGATCAATATGTTAAGTAATTATCAATTTCGATAATTGCTCCCTTACACATGTTATGTTTGATATTTACTTAATTCATCTACGAATACTTTTTTCAAAGTGTGTTGGTGCACTAAAGATGCTAAAAATAATAACAAATACATTAAATATGGGCTAAGTATATAAGTATATGTGTAAGTATATTGTAAAAAATTATTAATACTTGGTTACCTAGCATGCTGTTGTTCCATGGATATTCTAAATTAAAACAAATGCATCGAGACTATTAAACAACTGTGTTTAAATATTTTCATAATATGCACTACAAATCATTACCAGGTAAAACGGTTGCTTGCATGATGAAATTGACAATTATATATTCTGTATCTAACATTACATAAATTAATTAGAATTTTTTATTTTCTATTCTATTATAAACAAGATGACAGACTTGGAAGTAGAAAAAAAAACATCTGTACTAGTAATTCGGGAACAATTTAACTGCCACGATTATATAAAATAGAATAAAATAATTGGGTTGATCTGATGCAAACGTGGCAAAATAAATAAAATACAATTATTATACGAATCAAGAATTACTATTGTTATACATGTTACAAAATGCTTACATTTATAATTTTGATAAAAATCTACGATTTATATCACAGATCTGTCTGCATAGAAACGCATTTGTGTTATTCAAATTCTTATACTATTAACGAATATTTTTTTACCTTACCTAATAAAAATACATCATTAAAAACGATATGTTTAATTACATGCTCCAATCCATCTAGAATAAACAAATAAAGATTCAGTTAAATGAAAAAATTAAAATCAAATAACACGATAGGTATATTTATATTTTTTTTAAATTGCATGCTCCAATCCATCTAGAATAAACAAATACATTTTATTTGTAATTGATGTTAAAATAAAAAATAAATGTATAGGTATATGTATTTATAAACCATAAGAATATTATTAATCCATGCTTAAGCAGAGACCATTTGTGAAGTGTGCTTATAAAATTTGTTTATACATTTCTTGATAATTTGGAAAACCACAAAATAATAACTATATATTAGAAAATTAATAAAAAATAAATTTTACTTGATATAAAGTTATCTTCTACGATACAATTATTCATATTATGAGCAACCTCGATGAGTGTGTCTGTAATACATAATTTAAAAAGATGTGTACAAAAACGTTAACATTTCAAAATTAAAAAAAAACAATTTTTTATAAAAGAAATGTATTACTGACTGTTAATAGCAATTTGCCTCTTATACGTTGTCTCTACTTTAAAAAAAAAGTGAAATATTAAATTGTTTCAAATCTTACTTAATATGCACGTTATTGTTTAAAATAAATCAATTACTTGGTTCGTCCGTTGAAACATTAACAAAGACAAACGATAGTAAAAAACAGAAAAGTTTCATTTTTATCTGTAAACAATGATAAACAATAAATAAATTTATATTAGTCATACAGGCCATCAGAGATGCGCAAATGTTGGTATTACAAGGCTGAAGGATTTATTTTTATTTTATATTTCTTGTTAATTTTGTTTATTTTACCAAGCATTCTTTATTTCCTACACCACTAATTGATTTCTTTTTTATAGCAAGGTAAAAAACTAACTTGAAAGGCTAAACTTGTAGTCAGGTCACCCTAATGAAGAAAAATGAGAAATAATCAATAAAAATGGTCTCTGTTAAATATTTATTGTATTGTGTAAAAACTTTGGTTAAACTACTGTATTTAAAATAACAAATATAATATTTAACTAAATGTTTTTAACGTTAAAAAAATATTTTTATTGGAATTAGCTTTCAAGAAAATATAACATACTAAATCAAATACATTTTTTGGAGTTTGTTAGTTATACTTACTTAAATTTATTATTGGACCGTTAGAATATCTTAGACAACGCAACGGTTTGAAAATGGTCTTCTTATGACTTGTACTTGGGTACTTATTTTATATTTTGACCGAAAATTTAGAAACTTAATGTGTTTTTACAGTGTGCCAATTGTGTTAACACTGCTGGTTCATTTTTTTTTGCCAGACCCTTTTGTTATTATTTGTTTTTGTCGAGAATATGTTACTATTCATAGTTTTATGTTTAACAATCACTCATAGATCTAATGTTTACATTAGAGAACTGTCAATTAAATTTATTTTATTAGACATGCTTTATTTCTTAAACCACTATTTGATTTTTTTTTATAGCAAGGTAAAAAACTAATTCGAAAGGTAGCTTATTGACCAAAATTGTAGTTAGGTCACCCTAATGACCGAAAAGTAGAAGTAATCAAAAATGGTCTCTGTTACATACTAATATATTGTGTAAAAAGTTAGGTTATATTACTGTATTTAAAATATAAATAGGTATTTATCTGAATATTTAACGTATTTTTAATGTAGTTAGCTTTCAAGAAAACATAACATACTAAATTAAATACATTATTTGGAGTTTGATACTTCCTTAAATTATCGGACCGTTAGAAAATCTATGACAACTGTTTGAAAATGGTCTTCTCACGACTTGTAGTTGGGTACCTATATATTTTGACCGAAAATTTGGAAACTTAATGTGTTTTTACAGTGTACCAATTGTGTTAACACAGCTGGTTCATTTTTTCTTTTGCCAGACTCTGTTGTTATTCTTTGTTTTTGTCTAGACTACGTTACTATTCATAGTTTTAGGTTTAACAATTACTCATACAACTAATGTTTACATTAGAGAACAAAATTCAGGACACTTACTAACTAACTTAATCCCGATTCTTAAAGAAACAGCTCCATAACCGATAGTCAGGTATATTTGTTTCTCTTGTATTTGGTATCACAATGTTTTTGATTAGGTTGTATCGAAAATCGGATAAATGTTAAAGCCAGTACGTTTTAATGTGTAAATTACAATACTAATTGTAAAACATGTATTATGACACATTTAGTAACCATAGAGTATATAATATAAGATTCCCATGTAATATAACAAATGTGTAACATTTTCGATAAACTGTAGAGCGTAGTTTTCTAATATGAGTTATTTGAAACATTAGTTCAGACCACAAAGGTTTACTGTAATGGAAATAATTACATTGTTAATGAGTACAAACGGTTGTAATCCACAAGCGTTTAACAAGACATACATTATGTGTGATTTATGCCACTGTATTTTTGCAAAAAAAAAACGGTCGGTTATCAAGTGTTAAATATTCGTGCTATTCAGTTATTATTATCAGGTATGTAAAGATTGCAATATTTTATGTTGTTTGTTTAATTTAGTGAATTATTCAAATGCAAACAATTCTTTTTTATAAATATATATATTTATTATGTAATATAATGAAAATATTTTTCAGATACTAGGAAATTAACGAACAGTGCAAATATTATTTAAATATAACAACAATGGTATTGTAAAGTTTTTCAAGAATTATAAATAAAAATGGTTCCTGGTGTAGTTTAGCATATTTGATTTTTTAAAGTTTCTACACGTTTATCTTTGTCGTCGGGGTTTACTTGCCACCATATGCCATCAATTTCTTTGTACACCTGTCTTTCGGGGTTTAAGCCTTTAATTTGTATGGTAAAAGTTTTCTCGTCTTTATTGTTCATAGTAGATACATCTTGTGTTGGAAATTTTGTCAACAAGAACAATGCTACAAATTGACACAACTTTGTTAATGGAACTTTATGCAAATTTCTGTCTAAAAATATAAAAAAAAAACAACAATTTTTATAATTCGACAAATTCGGTTTACTAGTTACTATATTGGTTTGTGGTTCAAGACAAAACTATACTTTACTTGTCAAAAAGTCATAAATAAATATACATTATTTATTAGTTAAGGCTATTAATTAAAAAAAAAATATATATATACATTAAATATTATGTGGTCCGTATTGAAAAGCAGAAGTAAGAGTTGACAAGGTGCCACGCTTACTACTTGATATTTGTAAAAAGTATGTGTTAATAGTGACTAAACATTATACAGTATATGTATATATGTATAACTACACATATACTCATAAATAAATTATAATATTTTTAAAGTCATGACAACTCTATATGTAAACTTACCTGATGCACGGATGATTCTATTTCTTGAATTCTCTGTAGGAGCATGTCTTCTCTCTTCTATAAGAGAAGTCAAATTTGTAACATCTGCAAAATTTAATAAAAAAACGCGATTAATACTTTTATTTTTATACCCTGCTATTAGTATTGAAGGTCGAATGAAGTATTCTTGCTTTATTTGAATTGCATTAATTTTTATTATACAGGCTGATCCACTCAATAACTTATAGGGTTTAATAATTTAATTAATCTTTATAGCTCCGATGCAGAGCAGCTCCCTCTTACCCCTTCTTAAATTAATTTTTATTATATCAGCTCTCCAAACTAAAATTTTAACGTATATAGTTTATCAAATTTTTAAGTTAACAAAAATTTACTGAATATTTTAACTGGTCGATAACCAGTTTTGGATTATTATTCCAAAAACGGTTGCAACCCATTACAGCTTATAAATAAACATTTACCTAAGGCCTGGCAAATTATATTTTTTAATGCTTTCCCAATAAGATTTCTTCTCGCGTCTCCAAGGTGCCTTAACTCTAAGTCCATAAGATCTGAAAAAATAATAAGTGACTGTGACTTGTTAAAAAAAATAGATACAAAACATAAATTAATTGATACACAACGGCATTATATTCATTTAGTCGAGAAAGGATTATATTCATAATTTTGTCCAACTTAAAGTTTATTGTATTGAAATTATTGTTTCACCTAAAATATATTAAAATAATAAAGCATACTTAAACTCTACAACAAGCTTTATAGCTATTTAAGATTATCGAAAAAGGCTCAATTACTTTCGGATGGGACTTCAGGAGAATTCATTTCTATAACATAATGTATAACAAATATGAAATCATTATAGAACAATTAAAAAATTTCGGTTTTATCTAATACATTATTTTTCAAACTTAGAAATAAAGAGCAATATATTAAGTGATCATCAATTTTGTAAATTGTTCCCTTTAAAAATATTAAATTTGACATTTACTTAATTCATTTAGGAATTGTTTTTTCAAAGTGTCTTGGAGTGTTATAGAATCTAAAAATAATAACAAAATACATTTTGCGGTACATATTTTTGAAACTTATATGTATTTTGAAGTATGCAAGTATAATATAAAATTATAAATGCATGGTTACCTTGTGTGTTTTTAGTACATGGATATTCTAAATTAAAACAATAAATGCATCGAGAATATTAAACAGCTGCGGGGAGATATTCCCATAAAATGAAGTACAAATTATTACCAGGTGATACTATTGCATGACTAATAAAATTGATATCCACGTATTCTGAAATTAACATTACATAAATTAATGATATTAGATTGGATTTTCTATTCTGTTATGAACAGCAGAACAGCTGAGTTCGAAGTAGAAAAAAAAACTCTGTACTAGTAGTTCGGAAATAGTGTAACTGTCAAGATTATATTAAACTATGACAATAATCATACTTGGTACAAATTGTCAAGTTAAATTTTCGATAAAAATCAACGATATATTATATCACTGCTAAATTTGCATAGAAATGCATTTGTGTTACTCTAATATTTGTATACTATCATCAAATATTTTTTGCTACTAGAAACTGTTATCTTTATTTTTTTAAAAATATTATATAGTTATTACTACCGTATAAGTATACATCTTTGAAAACTATTTTTTTAATTAGATGCTCCAATCCATCTAGAAATAACAAATAACTATTTTAGCCACAATAAAAGATTTAAAAAAAAATGTTGTACATACATAATATGTCTACAAATTTTTAAATAAAATTATACCATGATTATTCAATGACTATTAATTGCTAAGTGTACCTACTTATAAAAGTATTTTACATTCATAGCTTAAATATTCGCTCAGTATCCAGTGCACTGGTTCTGTATAACGATTGCACTTTTTTAAACGGTTTATAAAAACTATAATTGGATTTTTTTACAAATTCTTTGACAATTATATTGTATAAGTTGATAAATTTAATATAAATTTTACTTGATATAAAGTTATCCTCTACGGTACAATTATTCATATAATGAGCAAGCTCGATCAGTGTGTCTGTAATACGTTGTTTAAAAAATATGTATAAAAACGGTAACATTTCAAAATTAAAAAAGGTATTTAAAAAAAAAAAAGAAATGTTACTGACTTGTTATGGCAATCTGTCTCTTATATGTCGTCTCAACTGTAAGTAAAAACTTTAATTTTAAATGGTTTTACATTTTACTTAATATGTAACATAGTTATTGTTTAAAATAAAATAATTACTTGGTTCGTCCGTTGAAACATTAACAAAGACTATCGATAGTAAAAAACAGAAAAGTTTCATTTTTATCTGTAAACAATAATAAACATAAAATCTATTTATATTAGTCATAGACGCCACCAGAGATGCGCAAATGTTGGCGTTACATGTGTGTATTTTTTGATATATTTTTAAAATTATTTTACTAGACCTACTATACTTCCTAAAATCGTTAATTGATTTTTTTTTATAGCAAGGTAACAAAGGTACTTGAAAGGTAGTTTATAGGCCAAAATTGTAGTTAGATCTTCCTAATAAGGAAAATGTAAAAAAAAAAAATAAAAAAAAGGTCTCAGTTGATTATTAAATGTGTTGTGTAAATAGTTAGGTTATACTACTGTGTTTAAAGTACAAAACATAAGAAGGCGTTTAACTAAATATTTAACGTTTTGGAAAATTTTTTTATTGTTGTTAGCTCTCAAGAAATCATAATATACAAAATTAAATACAGTATTTGGAGTTTGATACTTACTCAAATATTTGGACCGTCAGAGTTTGTTAGACGAGGGTTTGAAAATGGTCTTCTTACGACTTGTAATTGGGTACCTATATATTTCGACCGAACATTTAGAAAACTAATGTGTTTTTACAGCGTACCAATTGTGTTTGCACAGCTTGTTCATTTCTTTTTTTGTATGTTTCATCATGTACAGACAATTTTCGACATATCTACATTAGAGAATATCTATTTACAATGTTTGAAAAATTTTAACGTTGTACAAACTGCGACAAAAATAATAAGATAGGTACATTCTATAAACTGCGATAATTTATTTAATATGCTTACTGGCTGCTATATAATATATACATACCGAATACCGATACGAATGCTATCTTGTAACATGTATTATTATAGACCTATGGTGTGCACATGGTCAACAGAAGTAAAAGTGTAAAAATAAAAGTTAAAAAACTATTTTAAAATATGGAATTAGAACATATTATTATTTAACTAACATTAAAAATTGTTGTATCTACATATAATAGGATCATACTGTCTTGTATTTATAATTTAGTAGTGTTATTAGCCCACCCGTAATTTTCGGGCATTAAAAAAATTGGCATAAATGAGTATGTTTTCGCTAAAATTCAGAACACTTAACTAACTTAATCCTGAACGTTAAAGAAACAACATCTGTAACAGCTTTTGTTCAGGTTCATTTGTTTCTAGTGTGTTTGGTATCATATTGTTATTGATTTAGTTATATCGAAGAATATAGGATAAACGTTTAAGCTAGTACGTTTTAATATCCAAATTACAATACTGGTTGAAAAACATTTATTGTGACACATTTAGTAACCATAGAGTATATAATATAGGATTCCCTTAATTAACAATTGTGTAAAAATTTTCTATAAACTTTCTAGGGTATTTTTCTAATACCATTTATTTGAAACATTAGTTCAGACCACAAAGGTTTACTGTAATGGAAATATGTACATTTATATTGAGTACAAAGAGTTTTAATCAACGACCATTCCAAAGACGTTTAACAAGATATACATAATGTGTGATTTATGGCACTGTATTTTTGCAAAAAAGGGGTCAGTGATCAAGTGTTAAGTATACGTGCAATCCAGTTACTTTTATCAGGTATGCAGAGATTGCAATATTTTATGATGTTTGTTTATTTTATTGTATTATTAAAGTGTAAACGATTCTTTTTTTTATAAATAAAGATATTTATTATGTATTATAATGATTATATTTTTCAGATACTTGAATATTAGTGAACAGTGCAAATATTATTTGAATATAATAACAATTGTGTTCTATAATTTTTAAAGGATTATAAATAAAAATGGTTCCTGGTTTAATTTAGCGTATTTGATTTTTTAAAGTTTCTACACGTTTATTTATGTCGTCGGGGTTTACTTGCCACCATATGCCATTAATTTCTCTGTACACACTTGTATCGGGTATTGAGCTTTTATTTATTATGGTACAAGTGTTCTCGTCTTCATTGACCAGAGCAAATACATCATGTGTTGGACATTTTGTCAACAAGAACAATGCTATAAGTTGACACATCAAACATGATGAAACGTGATACAAATTTCTGTCTAAAAATTAAAAAAAAAAAACAATAATTCGACCAGTTCAGCTTTTTAGTTACTACATTGGTTTTTAGTGCAAGACAAAACAATACTTGACTTGTCAAAAAGTCATAAATAAAGTTACATTATATATGTGGTCCGTATTGAAAAGCAGAAGTAAGATGTCACAGGGTGCCACGCTTACTACTTGCAGACATGATAATTGTAGAAATTATGTGTTAATAGTGACCTAATATTATACGGTATATGTATATATGTATACCTAATATTTTTAAAGTCATGACAACTCTATATGTAAACTTACCTGATGCACGTATGATTCTATTTCTTGAATTCTCTGTAGGAGCATGTCTTCTTTCTTCAATAAGAGAAGTCAAATTTGTAACATCTGCAAAATTTAACAAAAAACGCGATTAGTATTTTTATTTTTATACCCTGCCATTAGTATTGAAGGTCGAATGAAGTATTCTTGCTTTATTTGAATTGCATTAATTTTTATTATACAGGCTGATCCACTCATTATCTTATAGGGTTTAATAATTTAATTTATCTTTATAGCTCCGATGCAGAGCAGCTCCCTCTTACCCCCTCATAAATTAATTTTTATTATATCAGCTCTCCAAACTTAAATGTTAACGTGTATAGTCTATTAACTTTTTAGTTTAACAAAAATGTACTGAAAATTTTAACTGGTCGATAACCAGTTTTGGATTATTAATCCAAAAACTGTTGCAACACATTACAGCTTTTTATAAATACCCACCTAATGCTTGGAGAATTATTTTTTTCAATGCTTTTCCAATAAGACTTCTTCTCGCATCTCCAAGCTGTGGTAAATCTAAGTTTATAAAATCTGAAAAAAATATTAAATGACCGTGTTGTTAAAAATAATCTAGTTGATACACAATAGCATTATATTCGTCTAGTCAAGAAATCATTATATTCATAATTTTGTCCAACTTAAACTTTATTGTATTGAAATTATTGTTTTACTAAAATATATTAAAATAATAAAACATATTTAAACTCTACACAATCCTTAAAGCTATTTAAGATTATCGAAAAAGGCTCAATTACTTTCGGATGGGACTTCAGGAGCAGTAATTTCTATAACATAATATAAAACAAATATAAAATAATTATAGATACAGTTAAATAAGTTTGGTCTTATCTAATACATTATTTCTAAAACTGACAATATAAAGACCAATATATTATGAAATCATCAATTTTGAAAATTGCTCACTTAAAAATGTTTAATTTGATATTTACTTAATTCATCTAGGAATTCTTGTTTCAAAGTTTCTTGGAGTCTTATAGATCCTAAAAATAATAACAAAAACAATTGTGCAGTACATATTTTTGAAACTTATATGTTTTTTACATAATATTGTTCCTGATATATTCATAAATAATTTATGTGCGTTAAATATACAAATATATGTGTAAGTATAATATAAAATTATAAATGCATGGTTACCTCGTATGCTGTCACTACATTGATAATCTAAAACAAATGCGTTGAGAATATTAAACATCTGTGTAGAAATATATCCATAATATGCAATACAAATTATTACCAGGTGATACTATTACATGATTCATGAAATTGAGATTTATAAGATCTGGAAATAACATTACACAAATTTATAAATTTTCTTTTCTATTAAAAACAGGAAGACAGAGTTTGAAGTAGAAAAAAACATCTGTAATTTACATATTATTAAATAAAATAAATGATATCATTGTGGCTGAGTTGAAGCAAACGTGGCAATTAGAATAAAACATAATTATTAGATGAATCAAGCATGACTATAGTGATAATTGTTACAAAAAGATTCCATTTGTATTTTTGATAAAAATCTATGATTTATATCACTGATAAATGTGCATACAAATGCATTTGTGTTACTCAAATTTTTATACAATTATTAAACACTTTTTTCTACTAGAAACTTTAATCTTTATTTTTTTAAGTATTATATAGTTGTTACTACCGAATAAATATACATCTTTAAAAACTATGTTTTTAATTAGATACTCCAATCCATCTAGAAAAAACATATAACGATTTTAGTCACAATAAAAGATTAAAATTAAATAAATTGTTGTCAATATATATATGTATTTATAAATCTTCAAAATAAAATTATTCCATACTCAAACATTGACTATATGCTAAGTGTGCTTATAAAAGGATTTTACTTTCAGAACTTATTTGCACAATATTCAGTACTCTTGTTTTACATAACGACTGCACTTTTTTAAACAGTTTATCAAAACTATAATTGATTTTTATTTACAGATTCCTTAACAATTATGTATGTATAAGTTAATTAATGTAATGTAAATTTTACTTGATATAAAGTTATCTTCTACAGTACAATTATTCATATTATGAGCAATCTCGATGAGTGTGTCTGTATTACATAATTTAAAAGAAAATTTATAAAAACGTTAATATTTCTAAATTGAAAAAGCTATTTTTTTTTATAAAATAGAAATGTTACCGACTTGTAATGGCAATTTGCTTCCTATACTCCTCAACTGTAAAAAAATGTTTTACATCTTACCTAATATGCATGACATTGTTAAAAATAAAATAATTACTTGGTTCGTCCGTTGAAACATTAACAAAGACAAACGATAGTAAAAAACAGAAAAGTTTCATTTTTATCTGTAAACAATAATAAACATAAAATCTACTTTTATTAGTCATAGACGCCACCAGAGATGCGCAAGTGGTGGTATTACAAGGCTGTAGTTTTATATTTTGATATATTTTTTGAAATTATTTTACTATACATACTTTATTTCCTAAACCGTTAATTGATTTTTTTTAATAGCAAGGTAAAAAACTAACTAGAAAGGTAGTTTATTGGCCAAAATTGTAGTCAGGTGACCCTAATATATATATTTTTTTTTAATTCTCTGTTAAATATTAATGTTTTGTGTAAATAGCTAGGTTGTACTTCTGTATTTAAAATATAAATTATAAGAAGGTATTTAACTAAATATTTAACGTTTTAAAAAATATGTTTATTGTAGTTAGCACTCAAGAAAACATACCATACTAAATTCAATTTATTATTTGGAGTTTAATACTTACTTAAATTATTGGACCGTTAGTATATCTTAGACAATGGTTTGAAAATTATTTTTTTACGACTTGTAATTGGGTACCTTCGTATTTTAGTGACCTTGTGTGTTTTTGCAGCGTACCTATTGTGTTTACACAGCTGGTTCATTTTTTTTTTTTGGTAGGTATGATTCATCATCTACAGACAATTCTCCGACGTATATTCTATACTTTGTTGTTCTTAGATTTAGGTTAAACAATTACTCAAACATCTAATATTTACATTAGAGAACTGTCAAATAAATTTTTAATATGGGTTACGGCAATATTTAAACTATACTTATATCTTACCCCCCCCCCCCCCGACGGAGGGTGGTATTTGTTTCTCATTGTGTGAAATTTTAAGACCTTTTAGTTGAAAATTTGTCAGGAGATAGGAACCATATGAACCCATAACATATTGAACATATGTATGTTGTGATTGAACCTAACATGTGTGTGGAAATATTTTCATAATATTCGTTACAAATTATTACCAGGTGATACTATTAAATGAATCATAAAATTGAGATTTATAAGATCTGAAATTAACATTTACCAAATGTATGATATTAGATTGAATTTTTTATTCAGTTATGAACAGGAGTTTGAGGTAGAAAAAACATTAAACATCTGTACTATTATGTCGGGAATAATATAACTGACATTATTGAACAAAATAGAAGAAAATAATAGGGCTGAACTGAAGCAAACGTGACAATAAGAATAAAACACAATCATTAGATAAATCAAGCATGACTATAGTGATACTTGTTAAGAAATAAATCCCATTTATATTTTTGATAAAAATCTATGATTTATATTACTGATAAATTTGCATAGAAATGCAATTGTGTTACTCTAATTTTTATACAATTATCAAATAATTTTGGATGGGGATGGGGATGTTAAAATAATAGAGCCTTGCTAACATTTCAAAAAAACACAAAGCATGTGAAGTAAGGTTGGTTAGGTAAGTAAAACGGAGTATGTCATAATTGGGCGAAGAAGTAGAGAATACCGACAAGGAGAGGTTATAGAAGTAGAACACCATAAGTTTAAGAGAGCGCCACATTTTAAATACCTAGGATCCATAATAACACAAGATAGATACAGATTTTTTTTACTCATCAGTTGGACATATTTTGATATTTTAATAATAAACATTTATTTTTACAGATAAATATAAAAGATTTGTCTTTAAAGGTAGCTGAATAACTTAGTTTAGCAGATTTTAAACAAATTTCATTATTTTGTTTACCTACCAATTTAAACAACAATGAAAATACAGTTTTACAGGGAACATATAGTCTTCAAGTATGTTATTTTGCTAATACAACATTATTATTTAAAGTTTATGATGTACAAATTTGATGTGGATTTGGGCTGAGAGCTTCCGAGATGTTAAATGGCATCTGGAGTGTTGTGTGTTCTGCATATTTTCTAAATTCAGCTAAAAAATGATATAGGAATACCACAGGTTTCACATAAGAGAGCAAACCATATATTTATAACTACAAAACATATTTTAAATAAGTAGTTCCTAAAAAATTATTACTCATTACGTTTCATGTACGTTTCAATGACCTTAAGATGGAGGTGGACACTAGGATACAAATGGGAAATAAATGTGATTTTGGCCTAAGAAGTATGTCTGGCTCAAAAATCTTATCAACAAAATTAAAAATACAATTGTACATGACCCTGATAAGACCAGTAGTTTTATATGGTTCTGAGATATGGACTCTAACAAAAGGTAGAAGAAACAAGACTTGCAGTGTTTGAACGGAAAATTCTAAGAAGAATTTATGGACCATGTATCGATTCTGACACTGGGGAATGGAGGATACGCCACAATGATGAATTGAAGAACTTGTTTCAAAAACCAGATATTATTGCAGAAATTACAAAGAAAAGATTAATGTGGGCTGGGCATGCTTGGAGGAAAGAGGGCTCATTTATTAAGGCGGTTATTAAAGAAAATCCGATTGGGAAAAGACCGTTAGGTAGACCGCGTTTACGATGGCAGAATCGTATCAAAATAGATGTTAAAGCAGTAGAACCAAATGTACAATGGAGAGAAGTTGCAGAGGATAGAGAAAGATGGCCGTAACCCACAACAAGAAGATGAAATCTTAGAATAAGTTATTATTCTAAAACAGTCACCGATCTGTAAAATTGTTCAGCAAATATATACGTTAACATTAAAAAACACACACAGGTATTTTGTATTACAATAGCCACAAATCGCATATTTTTAACATTTTTCTTAGAACATTATGCGTTATCAAGTTTAGATGCTTGAAAATGTTGTGTGTAGTGCTTTTATTGAAAGCTAAATCTAAAAATAATTTTTTTTTTCTCCTTTGTTTTACATATACGATCGATACAATTATAGTACAATAAGTATGCATGATGACACAGGTAAATTATAAACATTGAAAGTATGAAAAGAGAAGCCGTCTACTGACGACGCTCTTATTAGCTTCGTTTATCTCTAATAATAATATTTTATAAAACGTTGAAAATATATACCACCTAGTAAAAAACCTTGTAATATTTTGTATTTTAAATACCCTAACTATCTTACACGATACATTTTAATTGGACATTTTTTTGATTATTCAATTTGTTCTTCATTAGGGCATCCTAATTAAAATGTTTGCCAATTAAGTACCTTTCAAGTAAGATTTCTACCTTGCTATAAAAAAAAATGAATTAAGTGGTCTGGAAAATATTGTGGGTCAGGTCAATGAAAAAATATTACTAAAAAGAAACCGCCTTATAATACCAAAACTTTATCGGCTACGGTCACGACTAATAAAAATTGATTTTATGTTTATTATTGTTTACAGATAAAAATAAAACTTTTCTGTTTTTTGTTAACGTTTCAACAGATGAAACAAGTAATAATTGTATTTTAAACAATAACATACATAACTAAGATTTATAATAATTTAAAATTTCATTTTTTTTCACAGTCGAGGCGACGTTAAAGAGGGAGATGGCCATTACAAGTCGGCAACATTTCTCTTTTATAAAAAAATAGCTTTTATGATTTTGAAATTTTTACTTTTTTATACATATTTTTTAAAATATGTAACACAGACGCGATTTTCGAGGTTGCTTATAACATGAGTACTTTTTATGAAAAAGATAATTTTGTACAAAGTAAGATTGATTTCAAATTATTTATCGAATTCCCCAAATACTGGAAAAATATTTCAAATTTCATATAGTAAACAAATTGGTTTTTTTTACAAATGAATACTGCGTAATGCTATAAGCCGCAAATACAAGTGAACATCAGACTTTAAGTGTGCATCAGATGTGCATTATTCATTCCTTTGAAGATGCTCAATTAGAAATTGAAAGTCTCATAAACAAGGTCATCAATAACTACTACCGTGCATTAGGTTTCCTGAAAGAAAAAAAACTGGTGGAAATTCACTTAACGTAAATTGTATTCCGAAATTATATAATTACATATATTATTTAAAAATAATGATTTTCTTAATATTCTAATACTGCAGTTGTCTAAAAAAATGTTTTAAAATATGCTTTTTAATAAACAATTTAAATTATTATAGCCAATGCTTTATGGTACAATTGAAATGCTTTAAATTCTATAGGGACAAATGTACATTCATGAAATTTTAATTCATAACAATAATTACAGTTGCAGTATATTTATGCGATTTGTTTCACGGTGTATATTCAACGGCATAACAACAGTCAGCGTTGCCAACCAATTTTAAAATAAACCAAATCGGATTATTCTTAGGCAGAGTAATTTTGAAGTACAATGATTTGATTTCGACTAAATATACGTAGGTGTAGAGGCCCCCTTAAGGTAAAACTATATATTTATTTGCGATAAACGTTTGAAACATGTTTGTATAATTCAACTGATTGTATTGATCGTACTGATCCTACAAACGCTTGGTTAAAGTTTTGAAACCACATTTAAATTTTTCATAATATTTTCAAGGCATAGATCGTGGCACAATTTTAAAATTATTATTAGTAGGTGTTTGTGAAGTAGAGTTAGTTGAATTCGACCTAAATCACGCAGGTATACAGGCGCCTTAAGGTAAATATACACATTTTGTTTTCGATATACGTTTACAACATGTTTGTATGATTCGCAAATAACAACTTCAATAAGTTTCAGCTAGCGAACGATTACAACTAAACTTAGTGGTTATTTTTGTTTAAAAAAAAAAATTATACAGTGATATTTAAACAAAATGTTTTACAGTGTGTCAAATGGCTTTATGATGTTATTAGTAATCAGTAATTGGCAGATATTTGTATTATGTAACGACAATGAAGATCTAATTTTTAGACTCAATGCCATACTAAGTAATCCTGGGTGGAATCGGATCGACCATATAAAAGGAAAACACCAGTGCTCTACAAATTCTTTTTCTGGCATTGATCTGCTTATACCTATTAAAGAGCTCGATAATTTTTACGTAACCGACGAAAATGTCAACGATAAATACTTGATGACGGCTCGTTTGATTGAATGTGTGTACGCAAAGGCCATCTTAGAATATGTATCCTTCATACTATTTATTGTACACGAAGGCTCATGTGAGGCAAAACGAGTGAGTACTATACTCCGTATGAGAAAGCATCGCCATAAAGCAAACCTAACAAAAAAACCTAGATCTAAACCGGATTTCAACTATGACAGATTTTGGTATATGCTTGATTTAGCGTGGGGCCAAATAGTAAACAGTCACGAGATGTTTGGCTGTATAATCAATGCGTTGAGTTTTCTAGAAAAATCGTTGGATAAATTACGTGTAGGCCCGGATTCAAATATAGACCTTATAAAGAAAAGTGTCCTTTTTATCAGTAACGTGAAGCAGTTTTTAAAACAGTACAACGTCGAAAACCATTATACATACAATTCGAAAATTTCAAAAATTCCCGTTATATGGAAGCGGTTGTTTAAATGTAATATAGTAAACAAATTGGTGCTTTTTACAAATGGAAACTGCGAAATGTTGCAAACCGCCCACACAAACGAA